TTCGCGGACGAACCTCTTTAGAAAAAGAAAGAGGTAAGTGTTGGCGCCTTTAAAGGGGTTGCTTCCCGTTTGCTCACATCCTTTTATAAAATGCAGGAGCCTTATAGTTAATTACTTTAAGCACAGCCGTAGCACGGAATAAACTTCTTTCTCTATGGGTGATAAAAAGGTTATCGCGAACAATAAGAAGGCTAAAAAACAATTCAGTTTAAGAAGGATTTAACTCGGGCGGGAATCGAACCCGCACCTATGGATCGGAGACGTAATAATAACAATGCATTTAGCTAGATAAGCCAGCAAGATTACAGAGGGGCATCGTACCACCGTGTCAAATTTTTTTTTCAGAGACTGAAGTTCTGGTACCCGTTACAACCCTGGGCTGGGCTTATAAAGCACGCAATGGATAACTTATCTCAATTGACAAGAGATGAAAATTGACCCCTCGAAAGAAGTGTGCACATTCTTTATTACCAGCCCGCTTCTCCTTAAGCGACATGAAGTAGCGCGCTCGTACGAGGTCTGGTACTCGAGGGCAGCCAAGTTGAACTTAAACGGCGCGCGTGGTTCCTGCGTACCGAGGATCAGAATCAAATTTCGTAGTGCCAGGTTGTTGCTTCAGTGGTTCCTTGTACGATTGCCTGTCCCCTCCGGCCCCCCACCCAAAGAGCCGTATCGAGAATATGACACCGGGATGGAGATGACACCGGGATGGAGATGACACCGTGATGGAGATGACACCGGGATGGAGAAACAAATCGGAGTCATCCATGTGGCAAAGGTGAATTATGTGGCCTGTCTTTCTCTGTCAAGTGTTCTAGCCTTTGAACGTACAACTCCAGTAGCCAAGAGCAGCGACGCATCAAGTTTGCCTTTCTCACCACTTCACTCCTCTCCTGTAGCTGTTTGGGGTACATATATAATGGGGCACATATATAAACGAAAACACTGTTACGCCCATCGAGCTAACTCAGGATGGGATCCTTGGTAATATGGGTCACCGGCAATACTAATGGATGTTATCTTGTGGCGCCGGCCGCCATAGACGCTCGCATAGCACTGCGAGCATCTCGCGACAGCCTCCCAGTAATTCACCCAATATCTCTTGTCCTTTCGCTGCCACCGCCCAGCTTCTCGGTCCGCATCACTATGCGGCTGCACGCGGCAGCGCGGCAGCCAGCGCACCTCCACGTCGCACTGGTGGCGGTCATGCAGTTCGTGGGCGTGCCGGACGCAAACCCGCACGACGGGCAACGTGTGCGCGTGGTAAAACTTGGCCTTCCTCTTTTCGAGCTTGTTCTTCTCCCTTAGACCGGTCGGGCCTGGCAGCAGACCTACCTTGAGCAGGTCCTGCGCATTGGCCGAGTCGGAAAAAACCACCAGCTTCCGTCGCGTTGGCCACTGCTGGCCGCCGTCGCTGAGCAGTGCCATGGCTGTTGCCATGGCTTGGCAGATTCCTGCCAGCTCGGTGTGCTGGATCGAGTAACTGTCTCGAACCAGGTACGACTGGTTGTCGTACCGTGCCGCTCCCCCCTGCCTCGAAAACGGTACCTTGTTCACGACGCCAACACCGCCCAGGCGCCCCTTTTAGTGGGCCGGGCCAGGTGCATTGTCGATGGACCCATCCGTGAAAAAAACAAGCAGCAGGACACCGTCGACGACATCCGGGAGCTTCATGGTGGCAATGGCGTCTCGAAGGGCCGGTCCAGCCTCCTTCTGGGTACATCGGATGATGTTGCACCTATGCTCTCCCGCCCAAGGAGGTGTCCTGCCGCCACCGGAGTTGTTGGTAGTCTGTTGTGGCTGAGCCACAACAGTGTCTGTGACCGGAACTACAACAGGGTTGGTCGCCGGACCCGCAACGGGGATTGCAGCCGTAACAACCGCATCATCGTCGAGCCCAGCCGGGACGTCGGTACTTTCATTGGCCTTGGTACCGTCTTCCGAGTCGCTGTCGAGCTGAGAAACGCTTTCGACAGGAGTGTTAACGGGAGGAACAGAGGCAGGCTTGGCCTTGGACTCGGGCTCTTCACTTCCAACCCTTTCATCGACAGTCAAGTTGATAACGACACGTTCCTCCCCATGGTCTCCAGCCAGGACCTAGCCGCTCAGAGCACCGGCCTTCTCCTCCTCGTCTCCGGTCAGGTCGATAATGGCCGCCTCTCGCGCGCCGCCAGACGCATCAGAAACAGTCCGGTGCTGCTCTTCGTGACAGAATTTATCGTCGTCATCGTCGTCATCATCATCAGCGGTGAGGTCGATCACGACCGCCGCCGCGGCGCTGCCACTGGTAGATGGTGACTGCTGTAGAGACCTGGTTAGCATTACATAAAACTTTGGAACTGCCGAGCACTGTGTTGTGTGTGTGTGTGTGTGTGTGTCAGGAAACGTTAGTGTGCTAGGAAGAAAGGAATAAGGCAGCTTCCAGTGCACCTGATAAGGCAGCCATCCGATGCGCTGGATGAGGCGCCTCCAGCAGTACTGGATAAGACCCCAGTCATGGAAAGTGGTCAAGCCTTATCCATGAGCACGATGCGTTAGCACCCCCTACGCTTGCCCTGTGGGTGACGGGTTGCCGAGGATGGAGATATGAGCTGCGAGCATGAGGCGGATGTGGGACTGAAAGCTGGAATACCAAGCACCAACTGAAGCACATGAGGACAAGCTGCCCACCAAGTTATGAGAATCACTTCACATATCTGTATTCCGATCGACAACTCATCAAACCACCCGATCGCGGTGGTATCGGGGTTTGGATATCAAGTGCCCTTACCAAAATCGGCGGGTTGGAAGTAATCACCAGGAATGGTCAGAATATATTCAAGGATATGTGGTCGGTAGAGCAAGCGGAGCTCGTGGCATCTGGCCAGACCTTAGGAATTCGGATGGCATTCGGTCATACCAACCTAGCGCCCTAGTAGCAGATCCGACTTCAATCTGAACGCCTAACCCCCAGTAACCTTCTCATCCAACCAATCATGCACTTGTCCAAACGTCTCAGGTGCAGAGTAGTGCAGACTCAAATCATGCCCCGTCTCGTTAACCGAAATATATTCGTACGCGTCCCCTTTCACGTCGGGGAACCATTCCCTCGACTTGGCCAGAATCTCGGCACAGGTCATCTCGATCGACTTGCAGAGCACCTTGTCCTCGGTGCCCGTCACGACCAGCACCGGCTTGCGGAACCCCGTCCCCGCCGCCGGACCGCCGCCCAGCACGGCCGCGAACGCACCAACCTCCCCGCTGGTAACCGTGTCTTCGTACAGGAAGTCAAACGCCGGGATGGCCGGATCGTATTTCCCACCGTAGTACGTGAGGCGGTCGGCGGCGTGTGCCATGGTCGTGTAGCCAAATGCCTCACCTGGGAATCTTGCTGGGTTGTGAAGGGCTGCCGGGACAAGCTCTGGCGCGCTCAGCACGTTGCCGCTGATGGTTGTGCTGAATCCCGTGAGAACCAAGGCGTCGAAGAGTCGAGAAGTTGGGAATTGCTTGGCCAGGCCGACGCTGAGGTACGAGCCCCACGAGTGGCCGACCAGGACGACTTTACCGTAGGTCTTTTGAAGCATTTTTGAAGACGACGACGAGCGGCCGCGAACGGAGGTGAGCAGAGCCTGGAGCAGATTAACTTGTATCTGCGGCTGGACAACGGACAAGGGGTCAGGACGGTCAGGATTGGCGCCGTGGCCGAGCCGGTCGATCGCCAACGTGGCGTAGCCTCGGGCGTTGGCGTGGTAGTGCCAGTTGTAATAATTGGTGCCAAACGGTGATGATGGATGACGATTGCTGGCGAGCCCGTAGCCCGCCCACATGGTCTTGTTGTAGGTTATGCCATGCAGGAGGACCTCGAGCGTGTCCTTCGCGCGAACGTGCCTGGGCGGGACGCAGTACGTGCCGCGGATGGTGAAGGTCGAGTTGATGGTGACGGTTCCGGAGGTCGGGCTGCCAGCCCAGCCGTCACGGATGAAGTCGGCGATGGCGGTGGCATTTGTTGGCGGCGGCGGGGAGGAGAAGACCAGATTTTGGCTTGTGACCGGGAGTGAGAAGGATACTTCTTTGCACAGATCTTCTTGATGAGGTGGGTGAGGTTTCCCCCTCACTACCAAGGGAGCAGTCGCCGAGACCAGCAGAAGGAGGATGGTGGTAGATTGTAGGTTGAACATGTTTCGAACGGGGCACAATTTGAGGCAAGGGGGTGAGGAAAGTACCAATTGCAGTGATGTCAGAGAAAGCGTTCAAGTGAGAAGTGCTCGGTAAAGGAGTGTCGATATTCCTTTGCAATCTATGGTTTTTTATTCTTCTTTGTACATACCTTGTTACGTCACTGTCCCGTGTCTTCCATTAGCCAACCAGTAAGCTCTGGGGTGCGAGTTGCATCTTCCAATCTGCCGGCCCCCTTTCCCCACTAATCAATATGATACGATCACAACTGGCTCACTCTCCAGTGGATGAAGCTAAATCCCGCCAGGAATGAAGAGGGGTTCGTTTTTATTGCGGTGCACGGTTGTAGTTGCACTTACAAGAGCTTGCCGATTTATAATCCGAGTTTGGTTTGTAATCCGATGCCGTACTCTCACGTGTGTTGTGACACAGGCTCGTGCCGGAACTGGCGAACCGGGGCAAGCATCACGATCCTTTCGAACTAAGAACCACCTACTTGGCTTGATATGCCTGCAGGCACAAGGCCAGATATTGCGTACACAGTAAAAATGCTGTTTGGGAGAAGTATAGGGAGGTAAACACAGCGAGCTATAGCTCGTGGTATTCGCTCAAAAGCTCAGGGCTGGGAGGATTTGAACCTACCGGTCGTATTTGTTCAATCATTGGCCATCAAAGAGAAGTTGATACATGTCTTATGGCCAGGGAGATTGGGATGCTTTCAACTGTGGGTCAATGTGGGCAGGTTCTCTGCGCCAGCAGCAAACTTCCATCTCATGCCGATTCCGCGCTATATAAGGCAACGCATGACTGTGTTCGGTATCCAATTAAACCCCGAAAAATTATTTGGCTCGGTAGTGTAGTTGGCAGCACATGAGAACGCGCCTAGGTAAGGTCACGGGGAACCCTTCGGGAGGTATGCAGTGGAAAAGCCCTCAAGGCGCAATGTTGGGAAGGCGCGGGTTCGATTCCCGCCCGAGTCAAATATCCAATATCAGCTTTCTTTTTGGTTTTATTTTGTGCTTTCGATACCAGGAGTTAAAAAAGGCATTATCTGTCACCAGCCACCGCTCATCATACGAAGTAACAAGAGGCAGGGCCTATATAAATGTTTCCTAATTTAATAAACGACGCTGATCAAGGCGAACCACCCGAAACACACCCTCCAATTCCGGTGTCACAAAGTCTTCAAGTCTTAACTCGTAAAGATCACCAAACACGACAAACACCTTGACGAGACAATGTGCCCTAGCCGCTTTGACCACAGCTCCCAGATTTTTCAGCGCAGACAGGTAATGACCATCACACATGTCGAGCCGGTCAATCACAAGGCATACCCTCGTAAAGTGCCCCAAAACCACAGTCCACAGATCAAGCAGCGTCTTGTTATCAAAAGGGCGATCGAAGAGACTCTGAACTTTCGAATCCAGCGCAACCTCGCTGCGCTGCTCTATGAGCTTCAGCAGCAAGTAGCTAAGCACGGTGGCAGATGAAGGGTGAACCGGCGGATATGCAGCGCTGTGCAAGGTTGCGGAAACGACGACATAAGCATCATCATCCTCGCCAGCAGCGGTTTCAAGGCTGGTGGTAGTCGAGAATTCGCGAACGATGGCAAAAGTGGCGGGGGATAACCACGAGACGCCCGTGTCCCGAGCATGCAGAGAAGTCCCTGCCAGAATGAGGACTGACGACGAGAAATCTGTCTTCCAATGCTTGTATTCTTCTCCCATTTCTCGCTTCACCACGTCGTTCTGAAAGCTGAAATGACTCCCGTCGAAGGCCTTTTTGTCCGCTTGTTTGAGTCTTGCTTCATACTCGGGCGTTAGGTCGAAGAGTGTACTCTCCAAGTAGCCCCCGAGGTATCCCCGTGCTTTGGTCAGGTAGCTGTTTTTGACTGTCTGCTTGAGGGCTCGGATGTGATGTTCGAGGGTCTCAACTGTCTGCCCAAGCGTCTTGACCGCCTGGTCGAGGGTCAAGATACGCTGTTCGGATGCTACCAGAGCGGCCTTCCAGATGTAGCGTGCGTCCTTCTCGATATCTGCACGTATTACCTCAATAGCTGAGGATTGATGGGGATGAAGGATCCGATAAAATGTGCGTGCTTAATCATCTTGATAATCAGCTTCCGGTCTTTGCAAAATTCACAACCTCGAGTGAAGTGACAACCCACCGTAGCCATTGGTACTGTAATACATCATGGCTTGAACCATCAACTCAATAGTGCGGTTTTGAATCTGTCCAAGTTTCTTCGCCGCCTTCTCGTCTTTGGACAACCTCTCGAGAGCGGTATAAGTGGGGAAATAATCGTCCACGTTCTCTAGCAGGTCCAATAACTTCCCTTCCCAGTCGTTTTTCTTGACGGCTATCTGCAAGGTTGACGGTCAGTACTGCAGTAGATACAGTTACCAAGGGTCTGTAACTCACTTACCATAAGCAACGCCGCCAACGTCTCACTGGCGACGCTAACCCAAGGAACACCAGACACGGAATCGGCGAGCTTGAAAAAGGCCGATAGCCGGGTCAGGCCATGCTGCAGTTTTACTGCTCCATTCGCAAGCATGTCAGCAGCCCTGTGCACGCCATGGCCTCGAGATTTCTCCAGCCGCGTATGCGCATCCAATGCACCCTTGGTGAGAACTAGGACGAAGCCATCCAAAGAAGTTTGCGCGGCGCACTTTTCCACGATCTCGAGCTCATCCGAGGATAACTTTTTCTTCAGTCTGTCGAGCAATAGCCCTGTCTGCTCCAATAGGACTTGGCGCTCGGTATTGATTTCTTCTCCTGCTAGCATCGGCATTCGTGTGGTTGGTAAATGTAAAGTTCGGTGACATTCCTGGTTCTAGCTGTGGGAGGGCAGGCGATCTTGGGTTAGGAACTGAGAACAGTGATGGTACCTTGTGTTGCGGCGGTCAGAAGCATCTGATTTCGTAAGAAAGTCTCAACGATGAAGTCAATCCCACATCCCCTTGGAGAAAATGGACGGGTCCCAGCTTGATACCTCCAGTCACGTTAAAAGCAAACAGCCTGACATTAATCTGAAGTCAGTCCACTGAGTACATAGGTAGTCGACTGAATACGGATAACTCTTTCGGCATTTCACCATCAGCAGTTTACAGGAGCTGAATTCGCATGTCAGCTCCCAATTGGTGGGCGTAGTCATGTGGCGTCCGATCGTGCTGCCACACCATCAGCTCTAATAGGACACCAACTCGCCCAAGTTTTGCATCCCGCAGGGGGGTAGCGCCTAGGAGGTCACATCATAAGGAGGATGTGGTGATAATCTCCGGATCGTCCTCTGGTACAGCTACAACAAGTGGTGTGCTGTTGTTAAAAGTACCCCGGACGGCGTTGAAAGCTTCCACTGGTCGATGATCGTCCAAAGATGATTCTTCTTTCTTTCTCCGTTTACACTTTTCACAATTAGCTCTTTCTAACGGTTTCCAAACTCCAATTATCTATCATACCACTCAATTCCTTTGACGGGATTGTTCCATCATGGATAGCACAAACGCAGAATCGCCTGAGGTGAAGGGGCCTAATGCAAATTCAAAAACCAAGGTCGAGGTCAGTTCGGTTTTAGTATTTCTCTCCCAACTTTAATTTAGCCTGTTCACTGCTCACAACATTATTACCTTGGTTAGACGTTGCAGACCGAGCTGGAGAGAGCGGAAGGCCGCATTAGAGCACTGGAGGACCTAGTCACCAGGCTGTGTCCGCTGGCAGCTGGTTTGAAGACGCCGAATACAAACAACGTGCAAACCCAACCAGCTGTCCCGGATTCTTCTACTAACCGCAAAGATACGGCGGCCACGGAAGAGGTCCTGTCGGAATCTGACACAGCCTCGGATGTGAGTGCACTGCACCGCTTGATGAGCCGGTCTGGCAGCTTCAGCAGCCGTGACAGCGAAAGAAGTCTAAGCCCTGCCCCGTCGTTCTACTCGGCAACCGACAGCGAGATCAAGTCAGAAGGTGATAGCGAGGCCATGGACGACCCCCCCGTCACCTTCTCCGACACTGTCCAGTGCAACCCGACACCCAAGTTCATCGAGAAGCGATACAACAAGAAAGAATCCAAGTGGGCCACCCGAGATGTCACTGAAGAGACCATCATCCGCCGTGTCAAGAACAAGCGCGATCAAGCCCATGTCTTTCTGTGGCTGCGCCTTGTAGACCCTGCAGGCCACGAAAGGGGCGCCGAGGTGACCATCAACTGCCCGAAACTGAAAGCCTTGCTCGCCGAGCTACTCAAGGGGTACCCCGGACACTTCAATACCGAAGATCTAAAATTTACCAATCCCTTCTACCCGCTGGTGCACAACTGGAAGACTCTCGAGACGAGAAGGGACAAGCTTGCCGCCGAGGAGAACGATGATCCGTGCTCGGGGCATCTAGGGAAACTCATGGACACCATCCAGAAGTGCAAGTTTCTTCGATCGTACTTTTCGGTCCTCCCACAGCACAAGGCGGAGAATGTGGTGGCTTTTGAGAACCTGGACAAGCTCTTTGCGCCGGGTGATCTCGTGCTGGCCCAGCCGTTCTACAAGTCGCAGGCTTTCATTGTTAGTAACAACAGCCGCTTCAGAGGGCGTGGAAAGTACAGATCGTACCATATGATGTGCTGGACGTACGGTAAGAAAGATTCTCTCTCAGGGCCACAAAAGAGTTAATTAGTTTGATACTAACGACGACGACGACGGCCAAGGTTTCAACGGCAAGACCTTTTCCAGACGTCCGTTTGATGTCGTGTTCAGATGGTTTGCACAGCCCAGAAAGATCACCTCCCTTCGGTGCTACCCATTGAAGTTTTACGACCACAAAGTTGAAGGGGAGGATGACATGGAGAAGCTGCTGGTGGACCGCGGCCAGAAGTTTTATGAATACTGCACGCGCGACGAGTCGTCCAGGGTGTTCGAGTACGATGGCGACATGGTGCTTCGGTCTGATTATCTTAGCCATATGGTGACCAAGTACGGCGAGATGGTCACATCGGCAGTGCTCCAAATTGGTGCCGCTGAGAATCGGCGAGAACGGAGGGTCATGGAGGATGACGAGGTGAGTGATATCGCTAATTTCATGCGAGTTAGGTATAGGTAGAGTTTGGCTAATACTGCTAATTGCTAGATTGACTTCTCGCAGAGGGCTCTTGACAGGGCAAGACTGATACCGGTATGTGCCATGTCCTTTAAGAAAAGGGCCCAAATCAAATGCGGTACTCGACTGACACTGTACATAGTACTCTGGGCGTGTCGTTGTCGATGCCTTATCATACAGGCAATTTGCGCCTGTCAGCCCAGGCGCCGACGAAGACCCAATCGTCCAGGTCGAGGAACATGAGGCACGTTCAACTCCAAATCCATCTGTCATAGATAGCCCCTTCAGAAAACAATTTCTTGAGGAGCTACTAACGGTTTACAGTGCCAATGCCGCAGCTGCCAGGAGAACGTCGAACTACGCAAGCGGCTGAAATCCGATTTCGACAAGTTTGGACAGAACAAGGACAGCATGTGGCCCTCCAGCTTTCTCGACTCAGACCAAGCCAAGATCTGTCCGCCCTTTGTAGAAGGGTATTGCCTCGCCAAGAAGCTTTGGGTGTTGTTGGATGTGTCCAAGATCACGCCGATTGCTGATATGAAGAACCAAAAGACGCTTGAAAAGGTTATCCTCCCATCCGCGAGTGGCTGGAAAGACGTCAAGCCCATGCTGTCTCAGCTCATTGCACGGCATGGCATCAGCGATGATGCTCAGGGCGAGCTCGAGAGGAATCGAATCGAGCCCCTGAATGATATTGTGAAGGGCAAGGGTCGGGGGTTGGTCATCTTACTCCATGGTATGTTAGACTCCGTTCATTTTCAAACAAAGCAAAAGAAAAGGATTAACAGTCAGAAAGGTCCACCGGGAGTCGGCAAGACAGTATTGGCAGGTAAGTAAGTCAACCCCCCGCTATGAAGACGGAATTCACTATCCCATCTCAGTTTCAACTAAC